CATTCTTCTCAAAAACAAAGCATTGATTTAAATACTCTAAAAATGACTTGCAAAATCGAATGGATGATGAGTTTTTAGACGGTTGTATAGTGCCTTATGTAGAAAAGAAAGTATTTCGTACTATTTCTAATGAGTCTATTATAAAAACGTTTCAGGATATGAAACCTCGTCGAGTACAATTGTAATAATATATTTAAATTATGTTTTCAATAGTAGTTTATTTTCTTTATGTTAGTTTTGAATTATACACTTGTAATTTTATTAAAAATATTCCTATATTTAATTAAATATTGCTTAACTTGATTATTTGTTTTGGTAATTTAAATCGTCGTTTTTTCTAAAAAAAATTTACTATTAAAAGTTTGGACACCCTTCATTAAATTCCTGGCTACGCCACTGAGTTTAGGTATGAAATTCACACACTCTCAATAGTATGAAACTTAAAAAAATGATATAGTTTAGGTGTGTTTTTGAAACTTATCTCTATTTTAAACTCCGTAATGCATTAATAGAACATTTATGGGAGCAACGTCATAATCTTGAAAGTTGAGTAGTTATGTAATTGTATTTCATTAATGATTTATTTTATTTGAATTGTCCATTAATTTGTATATTATAGAATATTTGTTTGAAATTTATGTTATTTAAAAATTTAGAATAAAACGTAATTTTATATTAAATAAAGAATTTGAAAAATAAAATATTATATCACATGAAAATTATATAAAATGATTATTTGGAAAAGAAGAAGAAGAAGAAGAAATGATATATATTATGAAATAAGAAAATAAGAATGAAATAGAAATAATAATATAATATTGAGGATTGAGAAAAAAAAAAATCTTTTTTAGAGAGTAAAATAGAGAATTGAGTTGGAGTTGATTGTCTGAGGGCATCTCCATCCTTACACTCTATTTTACTCTCCAAATATAGAGTTATCTATTTTTTTTAGACAATCAACTCCAACCCAATTCTCTATTTTACTCTCTAAAAAAGAACATTTTTCTCTTTCCTCAAAATTATATTATTATTTCTATTTCATTCTTATTTTCTTATTTCATAATATAAATCTTTTATTTCTTTTTCCCAATAATTACTTTATATAATTTTCATGTGATATAGAATTTTTATATTTAATATGTAATTATATTTTATTCTAAATTTTTAGTAACATAAATTGCAAGAAAATATTATATAATATATAAATTCAAATAAAAGTGAAATACAATTACATACACATTACGTAAACATTTAATTTTTAAAATTATTACGTTGCTCTCATAAATGCTCTATTAATGTATTACGGAGTTCAAAATGAGCATTTTATGTCTAGCTAAAAATTCTTCAAATCGGAGATTTTCCTCTACATCTTTTCGGCATGATTCTTATTTCATCGCGAATTAATTATTATGTTATGTATTGTATTTTGTCTTTGTATTTAAATTATTATGTTATGTATTGTATTGTTATCTTGTATTGAAATTGTCATATCATGTATTGTATTTTTAAATTAATTTTTTAATCTTATTATATTGATTTTGTGTATTCGTTATAGTGAAAATTAATAATAAAATTAAATTTATTATTGACGAAAATTAGAAAAAATTAAAATATTACTAATTCGGGATGAAAGTAGTATATAATTAAATAATATTTTATATTACATTTAAAAAGAAATATGAATATTAGATATTTAATTAATGATATTATATGTAAATTAATATGTTAATAAGAAAGTAATAGAAATAATAATAAAATATTCAAAAAGTGAAATAGAAAGTGATATGGAGGTGAGTTGAAGTGTCCATTCTCTATTTTACTCTCCAAATATAAAAGAGAATAGACAGTAAAATAGAGGTGGGTTGGAGATGGTCTCAAAAAATAGAAAACTCTATATTTGGAGAGTAAAATAGAGAATGGACGATATGGAGGTGAGTTGAAGTGTCCATTCTCTATTTTACTCTCCAAATATAAAAGAGAATAGACAGTAAAATAGAGGTGGGTTGGAGATGGTCTCAAAAAATAGAAAACTCTATATTTGGAGAGTAAAATAGAGAGTAGAGTAGATGCCCGAAAATCACTTCACTATTAATATTTCACCTAAATATCATTTTAAATGGCTTTTTCATTAAATTTTGTTGATACGAAAATTTTATTTTAAACTAAAGTTTTTAAGAAATATAAGATATTTTTTATTCCAGTAAAATAAAATAAAAAACAAGTCAATTTAATAATTATTCCAATAGAATAAATAGCTTTACAATCCAATTAATTCAAAATCTCATTTGGAGTGTTAAATTTGTTTTAAAATGCATTGTGAATAAGTATTCATCGAAATAAATAAATATTCAAGATGCTTTTCTTACTAAAAAAAAATAATTTCTGAAAAAATTAATCATCTGCAACTACATTTAATTATCAAGATGAAAAGGAAATTTAGGTAAAACGTTTTGAAATTCAACTAAAATATGATTACACATTTAAAGTAAAGTGAAATCCACTAAAACGTCATTTATTTAGGTAATTAAAATGATACTTCAACGGTTGCTTTGCGTAGCTTTCTTTTTATTTCCTTAATAATGATTTTTATTACGTATCAAAACACATTAATATAGTCGGGGACGGAGTAGACGAATCCATAGCATTTTCATAGACCCTGTATTTGTATTAGAAAATTAAATAAATATATTTGTATATTAACTTGTGAATTCCCTAACATAATTGATTGATAGTTCAATGGTAATGAAGGGGTTGTGGAAATATGTGTTCAAACACGGGTAAGTATTTATCCATACTAGGTGTTTATACTTAACTAAATAATCTTAAGAACCAATAAATTAAAGCAATATGCATATTTTATTTTGGTGATTTTTAAGGTTAATTATTTAGTTAGGTATAACTATTCGATGCAGATAAATGTTACCATCCATACATCTTTGTCATATATATCAAATTTAAAATGGTATTTCCTGCTCTAAACTCAAATTTGATGAGTACGTAACTTAACATACCATTTATTGTATACAAATAACACGTTTAACTTTTTTTTTTTTTGTGTGTGTGGGGGGGTGGGGTGGGGGGTAATACGTTTAATTGAGGGACCAAACTCATAGCTAGTCTAAAAATGTTTGGCAAGAAAAATTAATTAGTATACGACTAACTTGAGAAACATTATAAATTGAATAATTGTGAATACATGCAACGTAACCAAATATATATGTCCAGGGGAAATGCATAATGGGCTTGTAATAAATTCATATGATGATAATCAAGTGTTAGAATAAAAATTAGTTCCAACCCCTGCCCTTGTCGTGGAGATATTCTTTCATCCTTAATAGATATTTCGAATTTGAGTTCCTTAAACTCAGAGTTGCATTTGTTAGTACTTCTCAATGCAGATATTGAAATCGAAGGAAAAATAAAAAAGAAGTAGTAGTAATTTAAAGCGTGGAGAGGGCCCGAAGTGGCTGCAATCCAAATGGGCGTGGTATCCAGTGTGACATGACCTATTTTTTTCTCTCAATTTATGTAATATACTTTTCTTTTTAATCAATTTGAAAAAGAACGATACATTTTCTTATGTGATTAATATTTAATGACATCAATATTTTTTTTCATGTTGAATCTTACTTTTTTGACAAAAAATCCACAAAAGTGGACTCTTTTATTTAAAATATTATTTATTTTCAAGATAATTTCAGAATATATCAAAATCTTTTCATATTTCTTTAAATTTCGTACTTAGTTAAACAATATCAATAAATTAAAACAAAAGAAAAAGTACATTGTTTATCCTACAAGAAAAGAAGTTCCAATCAGGGCGTGTTTATAAAATGTATTTTCTTGAAAAACAAATTGACTTTTTTACGTATAGATGATCAAACAATTCGTCAAATGATAGTTTGAAAAATCTGATTATAAATGCAACAACCTCAACAATTTGTTGGTATACAAATTAAAGTAAATCATCTTCAAAAATTAATTGAAGTTTAATCAGGATAGTAAAATGTATGTTTGTACTCTTTGTTCTTGAATTAAAATTTTATCTCATTAGATTTTTCTAATTAACGTTTTTAACGATTCAACTAGTAAGGTATATTACTAGATGGTAGATGTACTTTTTTTTCTCTCACTAAGTTTTTTTACTAGATGGTAGATGTATTTTTTTTCTCTCACTAAGTTTTTTGCCATTAATTTTTTTAGTAATATTTTAATAAGACATATTATTTATTAATGAACATCTATGAGGCCTTATAAATATACCATCGTAAATGTTCATTTTTATATATATATTCCTAGATAAGCTCACAATTACAAAAATATTACTACTATATAAATATCTCAAACATGCATCTTGCAACAACTTCTGAGAAACCTCCTAACTTCTTCTTTTTTCTATTCTATAAATAAAAAGTGAAGTCAGTTAGTTACCAAAACAAAGTGAAGTTAGTTAACTTGTGCTCTCCAGAGCCAATATTAATTATTCATCTTACGATAAATAATTGTCCCAAATTATTTATTAATTTACTAATCAAAACAAAGAATTTCTTCTACGATTAATATTTTTTGAAACTTAAACAAGTTTATTTAAAAGTTTTCTTTTTCAATAAGCGAATAAAAAGTAAATTAATTTACTAAAACTATTCATTTTATTTATAATTTTTAAAGAATGAAAATAGGAAAAATCCAAAGAGAGAAAACGGAGTTACTCAAACGGCGTACGCAAACCCCACCGTAACTGCCACGTCGGTGAACGGACAAAGGTGGGTCCCACTCTGTTTTTCCATTGTGTACTTATCCTAAGTAACAATTAATTAATTAACAAATAAGTAAATTTATTTATACTTCTAATTAACCTATACATACAGACCCCTTATATGTATAGGCGCGTCTTCTTAAAGCTGTGTATATATATAGAACCAAAAACATTCAACTAATTCATCATCCAATCTACTCTTTTATTTAAACCTCTGTTTTCACCTTTTTTTTTTTGCTTCTAAAACACTAAGGATTCTTTGCTTTCTCCTTATAAAGACTCAATCTTTTGCTTGTGTATCAGTTCAGAAACGTTCTTGATACAAATTTACTATTTGGGTATGTTTCTTTTTTCATTATTTTAAAGTTTTATTCATGTGAGTGTAGATAAGGATAGCCTTCTTCTGTTTTTTGAGAAGATTTGATGATAAAGTTTGGATTTTTATTGTTGAGAATGGATTAAAGAGTTCAGATCTCTATGTTTTAATGTACTCTGTGCTTGAAGTATCATGTTTCTGAATTTTTTTTAATGGGGTTAGTAGTTTTTCTTCTTTTTGTTGTTGTTTGTGTGGGTGGTGGTGGTGGGGTTGGGGGTTGATGGTTGTTTATGGTCTGCTTATATGAACTTGAGCAATGCTGTCATTGAGCTAGTTGTTGGGATTGAGTTAGGCTTAGATGTCGTATCGTTACAGGTTCCATGGTATTTTATTGGGATTGTTAAATTCTTGAAGATATTAGTAAAAGTTTTGTATATAGAAATATAAGTTGGAATGATAAATTTGGTTATGTAGGACTAATGAACATTCTAGTTTCTTATCATCAACCTGTAAAAGTGGCTGGTTTTGGATATAGTTTAACTCTCTTTTGTAGTTGTAGGGACAAAAGGTTGTTCCTTTCTGGTTTGGGTAGATAGGATTGAAAAAGGTCACCAGAATACTATTTCTATCATGATCCTGAGTATCTTTCTTCAAATTTGCAGCTCAGGGGTTTCTTCTTGAAAATTACCTAAACCATATGTTTCTGACTCTTCAACAGTGTCGCTGCATCCGTGTCAGATCCTTTTGGAGGATCGGACAAATCATAGAACTAGTCTCTCTTATACTTCTTGTTAAGTTATGGATCCTCAATTGATCCAATTTTTGGGATCCTTACATAGGAGGCAGGGCACTTACTATTGAGATTTTTGAAGGAGAGATTGAAAAATCGGATAGGCCTTACAATTGAGATTTTTGAAGGAGAGACGAAAAATCGATTAAGAGAGCTTGATTGTTATGATGAAATGTGGTTATAAAGAGGTCTGACTGTAGTTTTCATTACTGATTGCATAGATCAGGTTAACCTATATTTTGGGAGTCTGTGGACAACAACATAGATATTTTTATGACTCATTCTGTGGTTTTCCATTGTTAATGCTTACTACTATGCTTTCATGACTTATTGGTGTACTTACTTTGATAATGAAACCTTATCTTAAGGTAGTTTACCTATTAAATTTGAATTGACTTGTTAGTTGGATAGGTTGATCAGAGACACATATTTTTAAAGCTTTCTTCAGATTTTTATTAAATGCCTTAGGTTTATCCATTTATTTACTATCTAGGCATCATTTTCATGTAGTTGTTCTTATCCTTGGAGAAACTGATTTGTACTTGTATAATGTTTGGACTTTTGTGATAGCTGTTGGATATGGCTTTTGGGTGCCCACATTTCATTGACCTTGTTGTTTTTCTTCATCTTAGACTAGATCCAAATAATGGGGCCTATTCTCTTGTAATTGATTAGTACGTTTAGTATTGCGTAGTGTTTTTTGTTTTGTCGTTGCCCCTTTGAGTGGTTTGGGACCATCCTTGAGATTTGTTATGTAGTGTACCATGAGGAGAAGATCAATAATATTTCCTTAAGGTTCACATGTTCAATGTTTCTCGTAGTTCTGTATAGTGTTTATGAATTTCAAGTCTTTGTTCTTTTGGTTCTGAGATCCTTGAATTTGTATTTTTACAGACATTAGAAGCCAACTCTGTTACATCAACAAGCAGGATATGGCCTTAGAACAGCTGGACACTACCTTTAACAAACACGATGCTCCATTAGGGAAATGGAAGACAATGAACGATGAAGTTGAAGAGAATATTTCCGGTGGTTTTGAGTGTAACATATGCCTGGATCTTGTGCACGATCCTGTGGTAACTTTATGTGGTCACCTCTACTGTTGGGCTTGCATTTACAAATGGATTCATTTCCAGAGTGTTTCTTCAGAAAATTTGGATCAGCAGCAACCACAGTGCCCTGTATGCAAGGCTGAAGTTTCACAAAAAACCTTGATTCCACTCTATGGACGCGGTGGCCAATCTACAAAACCATCCGAAGGAAAGGCTCCGAATCTTGGCATAGTGATCCCACAAAGACCTCCTAGTCCAAGATGCGGCGGTCACTTGCTGATACCATCTACCGATTCAAATCCATCCCATCTCTTTCAACAACAGTCTCAAACACGTCAATCGCCTTATCAACAAAGCGCCTCACCAGGCACCACAGTTAATATGTTACAACCCTCCATGATTGGAGAAGTGGCCTATGCAAGAATTTTTGGTAACTCATCAACAACTCTGTACACAAACTCTTACAATCTAGCAATCAGCAGTAGTCCAAGAATGAGAAGGCAATTATTAGAGGCTGATAAATCACTTGGGAGAATATGTTTTTTCCTATTTTGTTGCTTTGTAACATGTCTAATCTTGTTTTGAACACTTTTGTCTGTTGCTTCTACTTTGTAAAAAAGAAGATATGGTGTTGTAGTAGATAAGAAAATGTACAGCCTCAGTTAAATGTGTAACAAATCATAGAAGCTTTTGCTTTCTTTGATTGTTGATAAAACACACTTGGAATTAGAGTGCTTGAAGATTGAACCCTTTTTTGATATATTAATCTAAGAAATGAGGTTGGAAATTCTATCCATTTATGGTGCATAGAGATGAATTTTACTTTTTGTCAATTTTCATGATTGGTTGGTAAAATTCTTTTGAGAAATATTATCTTTAAAGCAAGACTTTTAGTGTAATATATATAAGAAAATTAAAGTAACAATAAAGATAAACATTATATTTAAACAGCGATGCAATGCTATGTAGTGATGAAAACAACACTATCTATTTAAACATTATTTTCTTCCAAATAATGCAGTATGATAAGTTATGAAATGATAAATAACAACAGTAATAACATTAATGAAATATGTTTTTCATTTTGCTAAGAGAAGTTATTTTCCTGATTTTTATATGTTCTACTTTTAATATTCCGGATTTACTACCCTAGCTTATTGTATTTATTTACATTATGTATAAATGTTATCGTACAATATTCTACTTAACTTTCCAAACACTCGAAATAAAAAAAATGTTATTTTTTTTATAATCCTACCAAACACACCCTAAAAGGAGGCTAATTTTGTGTACCTTATTTCTTATCAATCAACAAGGTAACCAAAATTGAATTGGTATTTTCTTTGTCAACTTATTAGCTGGTGGACCTTATTTAATTCTATTTTTTTTTAAAGACCAATTCTGATTGGTTCTTTTACTTATTCTTTCTTAGAATATTGTTATTATTTATTAGAATAAAAGTGGTGTATCAAGTTAGTCCACATAGCAAAGTTACTAGCTTTCACATTGTAATGGACATTTTAATATTATTTTCATGATAACGATGTTTAGATAGCTCGTATATCTTTCGATTAATTTGTAGTAGTTAGTGTTAGTGAAAAATTACAAAATAACAGAATTACAAGATTACAATTGAAAATAAAAATGAAGAAAGGTTGAGGCGCGGATATCTCGCTCTCTTTAAGGAGATTCAAGTCCACTGCAACAAATTGTTTTCACTGGTCTAGCAGTAGTCCTTCTTGACTTGTCCCCTCTAGGATACAACAGCCTAATCAACAAAATATAACTCAACAACTCTGGACAAGAGTTGAGTACCAAAACTCCAACAAAAAGAACACCTCCCTTCAACTAATAAGAACTTTCTTTTTTTTAACAAACTTTATGCAGTCAATATTTTCTTATATGTAAAACAAATGAAGATCATCACTATTTATAGTAGAAGAAGTCTTCCTAAGAATAAATAGGAAGATAATGAAGTACTAAATAGTGAAGATAATAACCTTAGAAGTTACATATGTTACAAGATATAATGGAGCGCACCAAGAAAATTGTAACATAACACTAATTCCATTTGGAGTAATGCAGCAATAGTTATTTTCAACGGCAACAATCAACTGCCAATTCATCCATCATTATGTAACATATATGAGAAGTGCACCAACGGCCATAAACCAACATCTATGTGGCGATGCAAAAAATGTGAATTCTTAAATTATTAAAATGCCACACTAACAGTTAGTGTTTGCTATCAATATACATGTATTGTAAAACTCTACTCACTAATATTTAGACAAAAATAAGAAGAAATAATCAAATGTTTTTTTGGTTTATTGAAATTTAAATTCTGAATAACTATAATTTAAATTCTTAGGTTAATTTAATATGATTAATTCATCAAATGGGCATTTGATTATAAACCCTGTCACAATCAAGGCATCAACATGAGAAAGCGAAATTATATTCCTCTCATTTGCTCGTTCTTATCTATAGAGAATCATTTGTTTGATTCAAAATCAAGTTATTCTTTAATAAAGATTATAACTAGCATATATAATAATAACTAATTTTTTTAAAATTAAATATTTATTTTTTTATATTATAAAAATCCTACATATACATCTTCTATAACATTATTCAATTTTTCTAAATTATTTAAACCTTTTATCCAATCTATACAAATAAAATTTCATCAAACTAATAAGTATATTTAAGATAATTCTAAAACAGAAGGATCAATAAAATTATAAAAAACTAAAATAAAAAGACAATTTCTTAGATAATAACATAAATTAATAAAATTTACAAATATCCTACATTATTAAAATACAGAAAAGTTTTTACTAATATCCTACATTTTCACTTGATCACATTTAATACAGTTTTAATACATATTACATCGAACAATTTATAAAACACATATAAAATAAATTTTATTAATGAATAATATATTTATCACACATTTTAATATAATGTGTCAATTTCTTACCTATAACGAAATGGCCCCTTACTATTATTTAAGGTGACACCATTTTCGTCCGTGGTGGGCGCCGGCGGCAACGGTAGCAGCCATGCTGACGGCGCCTGTGAACAGTGATGGAGATATTATTTTTTAATTTTGAGTGATTCACAATTTACAGCTCAGCCAAAAGAAATGTCCAAAAGGGTTCGAATCACAATTTTCACTTGATTGCATTTTTTTGTTTCTTGTACTTTGTTCCAACTTGCTTTTTACTGTTTATCTTGTACTCATTTTTGGCCATATGCAACTATATTTTTCCTTCTCAATATATGCGATAGTGTTTGATTGAGCGCAAAATTTAAGAATAAAAGAAAGATATTTAAAATTTGTGATTTAATTAGCCATAAATATTTATATGGTTATACTCCTTCTATCTCTAATTATTTGTCCACTTTTTTTAGTTGTTCTTAATTATTTGTCCACTTTGACAAATCAAGAAAGGATATTAGTATTTTTTTTTTACCTATTATACCCTCAATTTATTACTTTGAAAAAGGTAGAACTTCTTGAAAATCTTAAATTTTTAATTCATCCACAAGGGTAAAATGATAAATTCACTATGTCAATCATTATTTTCTTAATATGTATGTCAATTCAAAAATAGACAAATAATTAGGGACAGAAAGAGTAATTCATTTCATTAAGAATAAAAAGGTATTTTTAAATTAAATTGCACAAAATTCATTAATCAGGAGGGGTGTTTAGTTATTATTAATTAAGAGTAATCTCTTTTCATATTCTATTTATGATCATAATTGAAGTGTTTGTAGTCTTCAAAATAATCACTCACTATTAAGAATAAAATGGGGAGAAAATAATTAAATTTGTCATGTTCTAAAATGACAAGTATTGAGAGTAAAATGGAGAAGTTACTCTTTCTATTTCATATTAATTGAATTTATAAAGCAATATACATATATTAAGAAAATCATTCAGGGACACATATTGCCCTTTATAAAATCATAAATAACTTTGTAAGTAGTACAATTTATCTGCTAAAAAATATAGAACTTCAATAAATGAAAAGGGCAAATATAAAAAAAAATTCAAACATCCATCTTGAACTTTAAACATGTCAATTATTTAGAACAATGAAAAAGCCTAAAAAAGTTCACTTAATATGGAATAGAAGGAGTACTAAATATGGGAAAATATATAAGAATTTACATATTGAACCCATTTAATTTAAATTTAAAATTTCGTCTCTAATTATTTCCTTGAGTTGATGGCTAATAATTGCTCTTACAATACATTTTTTCTTTATAGATTTGTCCCCTAAAGATCTTCAGCTACATCATATCTCATAACTAAGCAGAAAAAAGAAGACAACCAAGAGATAATATATAGTATTATATCTCTGCAGAAACTATATTTAAATTGCATAGAAATGAAATAAATAAATTATCATTCCCTTTTTTCTCCTTTTTCTGGTGTCACTTCTCACCCAAAAAAAGAAGAAAAGTTACAACTTGTAAAAGTAACGAAGGGAACTTGTAAAAAGAACCACTATCGCGGAGTTTCAAATTCTACGAGTGAGTGAAGTTTCAAATTTGAACTCCATGAATCATGACACTGCCTATTTTCGAAAATTAGGACCGAAAAGTGACCACTGAACGCTACTTCTACCTGCCAAGTCTGCAACTATACAACAGAGCCAAAGATCATTCTTTTAGATGCAGCAATTGAAAACCCCAATTAATAAAAGGCAGTAGAAAGTTTTGATTAGCGATCATGATAAAAATCTAGAGAATCGTATAATCCGACATCCAGTGACATAGTTTTTTCCTACTATTGTCAACAAATCTCCTCAATGTCTGTTTCATTCAGTGCCTCGGACTTGCGATTTCCAATTTCAATATACTTATCTAAACCCCTCTCAAATTCTTTCGAGCAGAGACCTCGCACCCTAAGTAAATCTTTAAGCTCTTCTTCTCCTTGAGTATCTCCTTTGGATTGCAAGTACTTTACACAGGAAGCCAAACTGTGGAAGTGTGGCTTCCACCCTGGCTTACTAGCCAAGATTGCTTTCTTCATCGTCTCCACTGCCTTCTCCATGTCATTTTGTACACAATAACCGAGTGCCAAACGATTCCATGAGCTCCCATTGGGATGCTTCCCACTCTCCTCGAGTTGCTCTATGATTGATATTGCTTTTTCCATATGACCCTTCTTGCAGTAAGCACTTATGAGCAAGTTTGGAATTCGAATGTCAAAGTGTACCCTGTTTGTTTCCCACTCAGCAAATATCTTCTCCGCACCGTCAAGATCATCCAACTTTTCTAGTCCACGTATCATACAATGATAACTTGAATTGTGATGCTTAACTTTTTTATTGTATTTATTCCATATACGATAGACATCATCTTTCTTTCCCATACTAGTATAGAGAGTAATTAGCATGTCAATACCAAGCTTTTCTCTTTTCCCCTTGAGTCTATTCTCACATTTCTTCAATGACTCATTAGCCTTTTCTATATCACCAGCATTCAAGTATCCCTTGGCAACAACTGTGTAAGGACTCCAATCAATCAGCAGAGGATCAGCTTCCATTTTCATCAGAACCTTCTCCATCTCCGTAACATCGGGAACAGATGCATAAGCATTTAAGAGGATATTGTAGGAAATCGCATCACCAGAAATTCCCTTGTCTTCCATCTCTAGCATAAGTGACTGTAGCTTCTCAAGATATCCCAATTTAGCATAAAGGGTCATCATAACATTGTATGCTACTGTGCCAGCATAGGCCAACTCTTTCAGCTTTTGCATGGTATCTTCTGCTTTTTTTAAGACCTTTGCATCAGCATAGCAATTCAAGAGAGCGCCATATACCTGGTAGGTTCTTAAATCATCTGGAATGCTAGTGAAATACGTCTCTGCGGCTTCCAGACCATGGGCTTTTGATACTAAATCTAGTTCGACTGCAAAATCTCTAGGCGATATATCAAAATCCTTGGACTTCTTAATCCACTCAAAAATCTGCAATTGTATAAGATGCAGAAATTGCTATTTTGTAAACTGAACCAATACATAAGTTAGGAAAAGAGAAGTTAAGTACGCAGCCTGGTCCTTTTACCTTGGTTCCCCAAAGGCTAGTATTTTAAACGAAAATAGGACTGATTAATACAAACTTGATGATGTGGGCGAATTTAGGGGTTGCTTTTGTTAAATCAACATTTAACTGATTCAGAAATATTTGTAGAACATGCAAGTTTGAAAGGTATCTGTTACAAAGTCAAGTTGTACAGAGGAGTTAATCAGAAACAGTGTTAGCAAAGGCACGCTTAAGCCCTGAAGCAAGGCTCAAAACATCTTGAGCGCTTCAGTGTTGTCATCAAGTCTCTAAGACAGATTTATCCTTACAAATGAGCGTTTCCTGAAGAGGCGACACTAAACAATTGATGTTTCACTAAACAATTAATGCTTATTATTATTAGTCTTGGACTAAACATGTATATTTGTATGTTTTCTACATTGCGTCTTTTTACATGAAAGCCCACACTTTATTTGAGCTTAGCGCTTAAAGCCCCAATAGACCTTAGAGATTTTTTGCGCTTTTTGCTTTTGATAACATTGACCAGAAAAGGGAAAAACGAAAAGTCATGTTGTGTGGAGGATAATAATTTGGTTCATGTATAGTATCAAGATCCACTTCCGGACATGGTTGACTAATCAAATTAAGTTCTTGTTTTTTTGGGAAGAAGAATATAGAGAAAAGGCAGGAAACGACCGAATGAGAGTACTATTTTAGGAATGAATCTTGGAATAGTTAAAAGTCCAAAATCAGACAAGCCCAACAACTCAACAAAAGCTAATCACTCTTCTCAGCTTAAACATTCGAATTGATTAAAATGTGTTAGTATTTATTCGAACAAAGAAAATATTTGCAATATATGTTTTTAACAGAAATAGTAATAGCATAGACTGACAGATAGTTCTTCGGCTAAAGTGCTTCTAAGAATATAGATCGCTCTAATCTTAGGCATTAGTCTTAATATCCTCACTATAATAAATTTATTAGCAAATTACAAATGAAAGCAACACTCTCCCACCCCACCCGCCCCTCCTAAATTTATATCCTCAGAGAGAAGGACTAAAAGGAGTCTTACAACTCTAGGCATCATCCTAAAGAAAGGTAATAAAAGAGAAGTCTTTAAATCACTATCACATCCAATTAATGGCCAAACAGAGTAACATCAACAAATTAACGGTTAAGCAAATTGTTGCAGTACAATAAACTTAAACTAAGTAAGATCCACTTTAAAGCATCTTCAGTCTTAAGCCTGGTATTAAGGAATAAGGCTGATGAAGGTTGACAAACAACATGATGATAGTCAAACTATTCTATGGATTCATGGATATTTTGGGATTGAAGCTAATTGATAAATATTGCAGTCCAACGCGGGTTAACCAGAACATTCACTTGTAATGCCAAATTGTAAATAAGGATGGTTCAGTCCATATACCATCCCTCCCATTACCATAATAGGATATTAGATTATTCTTAAACAAAAGGGGCAGGCCCACTATCCACCGAGTTTAGAAGGTTGTGATTGGTCCAAAGGGCAGGTCACAGACGGATTTCTTGGTTATAAAAAAAAAAAAAAAAAAAAAAAAATTTCTTAAACAAAACTTGGCCTCTTAAAATAATGAGGAATTTGTACATGAAGCTGAAGCAATACTTAGCCTCTTCGAATCCATAAAAGATTAAAAGAGATTCCTTAATGGATGTGTGGGCATACTAGAAAAGATAAGATTAGAAATGAAGATACTCGGAACTAGGTGGGAGTAACCTCTGTGCTGGACAAGATACGGGAGGCGAGACTGAGATGTTTTGGACATGTGAAGGGGAGATTCATGGATGCCTAGTGTGGAGGTATGAGGGATTGGCTATTGACGGTTTTAGAAGAGGTAGAGGTAGGACAAAAAAACTTATGGAGAGGTGATTGCGGAAAGGTGATTAGAGAGGACATGACACTACTTCAACTTATCAAACACATGACCTTGGATAGGATGCATATGGAAGATACGGATTAGGGTAGATGGTCAATAAGTAGTTGAGTGTTGTCTCAGACCCATACAAATTAATCATGTGCCAAGAACCAGATTTGAACTGGTGACACGAGGTCACTTATCTTTCCATATTCATAGTCGTACTATTATTCTTGTAGTTTCTTGTTTCTTCAACTTCTCTCACTCTTATTGTTTCTTGTACTTCGATTCTCATATTATTTCATTATTGTCATGCCTTGTTTTCTTCACTCCCATTCTTTTCCTGCGCTGAGGATCTATTAGAAACAACCACTCTAGGTGAGGTAAGGTCTACATACACACTATCCTCCCCACACGCCACTTGTGGGATTATTGTCCTTGTTTTGTACATATTACAGTTAATTTTAACGTCCTCCTTCAATGAATTCTATCAGATGAACCGGAACAACAGACCAAATTCAAAAACTCCCCCACCCCCAAACTGAAGTTCATATCAATTAGTATGATTTTCGCAAATTACTCATCGACATTATCTTAAAGAAATAAACAAAATTACAGAAGTAAAAAACAATAAACCTGAAGGGCATGATTGTAGCGACGGTAAGCTCGAAACTGTCTGACGATAATCAGTAGGTCTTCATACTTAATGGGATTTTGTTCAGTAACCCATTTGTCCAGTACTGATATGACGGACTCCTTAGAGCGTGTCAAATAGAGTAGCCTACTGTACAGAGCATTCTTTGGAGACGAGGTTAAGGGGTTTAAACATTGTTCATCTTTATTAGCCAAAAATAAGGAGGCTAGGGTTTCAGTATTTGTAGAATATGAAGAAGAAACCCTAAGAAAACAAGTACTGAATTTCCACCATGATTGTTGAACAAGTTTCACCATTCTTACCAGAAATCCAGAGTATGCCTCACTTCCTCACACTCTTCATTCACTCTTGTAACCCTTCTTGCAATAAAAAAATAAAATAAAAAATTTAAAAATAATGAGTTAGTTTGATTTGACACAAAATTTTAAAAAAAAAGATTTTTGATACTTATGATTTAAAATAAAGGATAGATATTAGAGTGATTATAAATCATTCTTAAATTTAAATTATTTATTTAATATAAAAATGTGTCATCTTTTAGACATGAAATTGAGTAGTATAAATTGGAACAAAGAGATAAGTATTTTGTTTAAATAAGTGTATTTTTTATTTATTTGATCAAATTTTATTTTCTTAGAAAAAATATTTTTCTAAATATTTTGATCAACTAAACATTTGGAATGCATTTTCTCAATTAAATACTTAAAACTTAAACGCCCAAGCCCAGCGGGCCAAAGAATTTGATGGGCTGGGGCGGGCCGACCCTTCATTTCAAAGGGCTATAAAATGGTCAACCCGGCCCAATCCCAGAAGGGTCAAGGGCTGGGGCGGGCCAGCCCTCTTTTTTTTTTATGTCAAATCAATGTCACAAACAGTAACATTGTTTCAATAATTCTAAATAAAAAATCTAGCAATAAATATTTAAAGAAAAAAAATAATCTCTTAAGTAAATAATATCTAAAAAACAAACTAGTAAACTAAAGAACACTTCTAACTAAAACTTTAGTTAGCAATACATAGTTATTTAAAGTATTTTGTTAAATGAAATCCAGAAAATTGTTACATGCGTGAAAATCGTCCAATGTCGTAGCAGAAACGAGATGACAATAAAACTATAAGAGTGAAGAGACAGAGAGTTGTAGTTCAAGAATTCAGATATTAGGGTTTAGGGACTTAAGTTTTTAAGAGTAATGGCTTTAGAATTTATAAGGCTTTAGCCTTTTAAATCTTCACGTACTAGTAGTCTAGTAGTACTAATCTACTATAGTTGTATAGGTTAGAGGTTACATTTAAGTTTTCTAGTCAATCAAATTCAAACTACTCAATAGGTAAGATTCCATGATCGTCTTGTTCAATTATATTTTTTTCTTCTTTATTTCCTGATGCATACGGAAAATTTAAAAAATTCAAAACAAGGAAAACAAACAAGAGCCATAAATTACCTCTTCCTCTAAGTCATAAGACATGGCTAAGAGTATCCAAGTATCCCTAAATCAATTATTCTCCACATGTAAGTATCCCTGTATATTCGCCTCCACATAATGCAAAACTTTATGTGCAGATTTCATATCTCTATTGGCATTTCGTGGCCTCGGCAATATGTAATCCCATATACCTTCTGGCAGTTCAATCCATGGCGACAAAATTTTCTTACGATTTTTTATATGGTCTATGGTGTGTTGGGTCGAAATAAACCGATACATTATTTTTATCATGTAGTATGGTATATGATTTGTTGGGGCAAAATGATGATACGTTATTTGATACATTGTTGTCAATACATTATCATGTTGTTTTGTAGCTTGCTTTAAATCTTTTGAAATTGTACATAAAATCCTAATTTTGTTTTTTTTTTGTTTTTCAATATATTGCAACTAATGTATCAAATTATATAGTAGAAATTATTTTGATGGGATGTAATTTGCATAACAGTGTATGATATTATAAAATAGTTTAAACATGATACTTAAATAACATATAATGAATATATGACGTTTCATTTAGTATCAAATACAATATCATCAAGTGGTATTGAGTATCAGTTACTATTTTTATCATTATGTATCAACTAAACAGTAAGATACTTTGTAGTTACTATAATGTATCATGTAATTAAAATTTTTGGTACATTTTAGTCAAATTTAATCATTTTTATAATGTATCTACGAAATATTTGTAGTGGCCTTTGCCGAATTCTTTAGCGATGAAGTCAACATCCTATCTACTGGTTTCCGAGCTGACAATCTTCGCATAAGATATGCAACACTTTTATGAAGTATGGTCTCGACAAGGCCAAGGCGGGATATGTTAACGATAAAGATGATCCACCAAAGCCGAAGAGTTATTTAACTCCACCACAACATGATGACTTGGTTCATGTAGATTAGTAATTATATATCAATTCACATACAACTTTTGATGTTTTATTGTTTTTAAGATAGATTAACTAATGTTTTGGAGGGTTTATTATTTTTGAAGATACATTTTCTCAAGCTTTACAGTTTCTTCTTTAAAAATATGATTGTTTATTTGAAATGTAATTTTCAATATTTTTAGTATCTTGTTACATTTTGTCTATTATAAGTATTTTACACATCATAACACTTGATACAATATCATTATCTGATACAAAATAATCAAAAAATAAAGTAATCTGATTCATATATCATGATCTGATACAAAAATATCAAAAAGATGAAACAACCTGAAATCGTGTAAAAGTTAGAGATACATTACATTATATATCTTTCCTAATGTATTATTTGTAAAAGATGTTATTTCTCGATTTTTGCAGTTTCAAGAACCAAATAGAATTCTAGCTTCTTTCAAAAAGTGTAATGTAGGTAGTTGTCGTGCCTCAGCAAGCTAACTATTGATATATTTTGTGATGTTAGAAGTCATCATTCTCCCTTTGTTCACTGTTGCAATTGTACAAGATACATTAAAAGTTTGATAATGTTTCATGTATCATTCCAAAAAAAAAAACAATGCAAGATACATTATTATAACTAATCTCAACGGACCATATTGTCCTCAACATTTTACATGTTTCAGATACGAATAACTACATGATATATTTCATACCAATGTATCATAATTACACATGCATCGTCAATGATATATTAAAAAAATGAAGAAGTATTTCACATGTTTCTGATACTTTAGAATTACCACACAATGATACATAGATCTAAAAATCTAACACATATGATGCAACTTTTTTTTTTTTTGGGCAAACATGGAGTAGAAGATTAATTACTTCAAAATGTGTCAAGACTAACAAGATGGACAATATTATAGTCAGAATGCCATCTAAAAAAGTACTGAGCAAAGGAAAAGTTCTCTTGACCAACTCATTCTTTAAAAACCTAGTTTAAAATATATCATAGCTTAAAAGCACCTCTAGCAAGTATCAACCCAAGACTATCATATCTTCTCTTTAACCCTAAAAGAGCATCCTTCAATAAGTTTTGCGCGGCCACCAGTTGGCTGGCATAGCACTTGCTGGCAATTGGGGCATGTAACCACGGTTTGCGACTGGCTGCATTTTTTTGTTATTTGGAAGCAGCCTTGACATTTGACATCCAGAAAAGTATAATTAGGTGATTGGACCAAATGCATAAGCTTGTGCTTTTGCTTCTCAAGCTCATCAGGAGGGTGAAGCAAGTCAGTGTCATTTGGAATACCCATATTGTCTTGAAGCTTTTGTACGATAACAGATGTTGCAAATTGCTCCAAGAAAAAAACCCTATATAAAGTAGAAACTAACGTTGTATCATGAATAATATCACGACTTATGTATCAAAAAATCAAAAATACTAATTCACAATACAAAACAACTAATTCAATACAAAGATGAGTGCTGCTTTATTTAGCGAGTACCTTTTTCTCAACTTTGACATGTACAATTCTACCGGATGTAGCATCAAAATAAAGTATCTCTCCAGCCATCTTGTCTGTTGTTTCAATGGCAGATTTGAGATTCAATTCAGTTGTAATGGCGAATTTGAGATTTACAAAAGAAATCGTTTGTCCAACAACTATTCCATCACTATTACATCGTTCATAACTCAGATCGCTCACCCAAAATTCTGAAAATCTAAAAAAAAACCGATAAAGTCATCATGGATTGTCTAATTTGGATCTGTTATGATTTGGGATAGATGGAGGAGAAGAAAATTTGAATTTTGAATTCTCTGAATCTGTTAGGGATTGGAATAGATTGATATCAATCTCTTTTGTGTGATTTGTGGACTGATAATTAATTTTACATTTAGATTCCAATTTAAGCGCAACAGTCAAGTTATTTAATGTATCAGACGCTATGTATCCGGATGCTACAATTTTTAAGGGATTTTTGTAAAATAGAAAAGAGTAGGGATACAATGTAATTTAGGTTTTACACTATGAGATTTATGTAAGTTATACATTAATCATTTAGTTTTTCTATGTTGGTCAAATTGATATTTTCAAGACTAATAACTCTCAAATATAAAATTATCATTTATGCATTAATTTTATGAAATGACAAATATTAAGAAATATTTATTTTTAATAAGAACGACATATAAATAAGAACGGAGGAGTAGTAAAAGATTACTTCTTTCTCATATTTCTGGTATCACTTCTCACCAAAAAAGGAAAAGTTACAACTTGTAAAAGTAACTAAGGGAACTTGTAAAAAGAACCACTATCACGGAGTTTCAAATTCTACAAGTGAACGAAGTTTTACCTACGGAAATTTAAAGAAAGCAATTATCATTCCTTCTTTCTCCTTTTTTTGGTGTCATTTCTCACCAAAAAAAAGAAGAAGTTACAATAGAAGTAACTAAGGGAACTTGTAAAAAGAATCACTATTTCAGAGTTTCAAATTCTACAAGTGAATGGAGTTTTACTTACGGAAATTTGAACTCCATGACATTGCCTATTTTCCAAAAACAGGACCGAAAAGTGACCAATGAACGCTACTTCTACCTGTCAAAGTCTGCAACTATACAACAGAGCCAGAGATCATTCTTTTAGATGCAGCAATTGAAACCCCCAATTAATATAAGGCAGTAGAAAGTTTTGATTAGTGATCATGATAAAGATTTATAAAATCATATAGTCCACTATCCAGTGACATAGTTTTTTCCTACTATTGTCAACAAATCTCCTCAATGTTTATTTCATTAAGTGCCTCAGACTTGAGATTTCCAATTTCAATATACTTATCTAAACCCCTCTCAAATTCTTTCGAGCAGAGACCTCGTACTCTAAGTAAATCTTTAAGCTCTTCTTCTCCTTGAGTATCTCCTTTTGATTGCAAGTACTTTACACAGGAAGCCAGACTGTGAAAGCGAGGCTTCCACCCTGGCTGACTAGCCAAGATTGCTTTCTTCATCGTATCCACTGCCTTGTCCGTGTCAATTTGTACACAATAACCGAGTGCCAGACGATTCCATGTGCTTCCATTGGGATGCTTCCCACTCTCCTCGAGTTGCTCTATGATTGATATAGCCTTTTCCATATGACCCTTCTTGCAGTAAGCAATTATGAGCAAGTTTGGAATTCGAATGTCAAACTGTACCCTGTTTGTTTCCCACTCAGCAAATATCTCCTTTGCTCCATCAAGATCATCCAACTTTTCTAGTCCACGTATCATACAATGATAACTTGAATTGTGACGCTTAACTTTTTTCTTGTATTTATTCCATATACGATAGACATCATCTTTGTTTCCCACACTAGTATAGAGAGTAATGAGCATGTCAATACCAAGCTTTTCCCTTTTCCCCATGAGTCTATGCTCGCATTTCTTCAATGACTCGTTAGCCTTTTCTATATCACCAGCTTTCAGGTACCCCTTTGCAGCAATTGCGTAAGAACTCCAATCAATCAGCAAAGGATCAACTTCCATTTTCATCAGAACCTTCTCCATCTCCGCAACATTGGGAACAGATGCATATACATTTAAGAGGATATTGTAGGAAATCAAATCACCAGAAATTCCATTATCTTCCATCTCTAGCACAAGTGACTGTAGCTTCTCAAGATATCCCAATTTAGCATAAAGGGTCATCATAACATTGTACGCCAGTGTGCTAGCATAGCCCAACTGCTTCAGCTTGTGCATGGTATCTTCTGCTTTTTTAAAGACATTTGCATCAGTATAGCAATTCAAGAGAGCGCCATATACCTGTTAGGTTCTTGAATCATCTGGAATGCTAGTATAATACGTCTCTGCGGCTTCCAGACCATGGGCTTTTGATACTAAATCCAGTTCGACCGCTAAATCTCTAGGCGATATATCAAAATCCTTGGACTTCTTAATCCACTCAAAAATCTGTGATTGTATAAGAAGAGGAAATTGCTATTTTGTAAACTGAACCAATACACAAGTGAGGAAAAGAAAAGTTTACGCAACCTGTGTAACAAACCCGAATTGCTCACTATGTTGATAAGAGAACTAAAACACGATTACAACTTTAGAATCGTAATTGCAATACCCAAACTACTGAATTACGATGGAAATATGGAAATAACAAGTAACTAAGGATAGAGATAAGAATGGGGATGAGAAACTTAGACTCTAGAAGAAGAAGAGAGGACAATCATTTTTTTTCAATGTACGCATAACCCTTCTTTCAAACTCATTCTCCCTTTTAACCAAATGCTAATTGGGCATGGATCCCAAATAAAACACTCCAACATTTAACTTGGCCCAATCTCATTCACCACTTCTAACTCATAGGCCTTTTATAGAGCTAGCTTCGTTCACAACAACCTGGTCTTTTTTCTCTGGTTTCACAAAGGCTAGTATCTTAAACAAAAATAGGACTGATTAATACGGACTTCATGATGCGGGCGAATTTAGGGATTGCTCTTGTTAAATCAACATTAAACTGATACAGTTGAAATATTTGTAGAACATGCAAGTTTACAAGGTACCTGTTACAAAGTCAAGTTGTACAGAGGAGTTAATCAGAAATAGTGTTAGCAAAGGCACACTTAAGCCCTGAAGCAAGGCTTGAAACATTTTGAGCGCTTCGCCTCGCTTAATGTGCTTCAGTGTTGTCATCAAGGCTCCAAGACAAACTTATCCTTACAAATGAGTGTTTCCTGAAGAGGCGACACTAAGCAATTGATGTTTCACTAAACAATTCATGCTTATTATTATTAGTCTTGGACTTAACATGCAGATCTGTTTTTTTTCCTCCATTGCACCTTTTTACATTAAAGCCCATATTTTGTTTGAGCTTTTACTGCAAGGCTCAAAACATATGGAGGATATAATGTATAGTTTCAAGATCCACTTCCAGACCTGGTTGACTAATCAAATTAAGTTCTTGTTTTCTGGGAAGACGAATATAGAGAAAAGGCAGGGAAAGAGAGGACTATTTTAGGAATGACTTAGAATATTTTAAAGTCCCAAATCAGACAAGTCCAGCAACTCTACAAAAGCTAATCACTCTTCTTATCTTAAATTTTCGAATTGATTAAAATGTGTTTGTATTTATTCGAACAAAGAAAATATTTGCAATATATGTTTTTAATGGTTAGTTTTTTTTTATATTTTCTTATAGTAGTAACACATTTTACTAACAAACTTAGGCACACATATTTTACCCTTTATCTCTATGGCATGTCGATAACTTGTATGGGATAATCTTATCGAGGTTTCAATGCAATATGCCCATAAACAAAAACAAAAACAAAAAGTATCCCAACACAAATGTGTAATTGAATTAACCAAAACCAATTCATATTTGGTAAGTTTTAGTAAGTGTGGTAGTTGGGGTAAGGTATAGTCATGCATTCTCAAGTGGGTAACTTTGTAACTATAATTGAAATCCTACTATGTTTTGAAGAACATAGAAATTAAATAGAAAGACTTTTTCTATTGAAGGTAACATGTTTGGAAAGATATAATAATGTGGGCAGAGAACACAAAAATTCAGAAGTAAACCCGATAAGTGGTATAAAGGGACAGATTTTCTTTTTCATTCGACTTAACACAAGTCAACTATTTTTAGTACACTCAGGTCAGCACCATAAAATTTCTGGAAAAAAAGTACATCTGCTGGTTCCCTAAGTTGCGCGGACTCTTCACTTTGATGCCGCACCCGTGTCGGATTCTCCGAGAATACACTATTTTGGCGAATCCAACACGCACCCCTTGACATTTTTGAAGAGTCTGAGCAACATAGCTGGTTCCTACTCTTAAGACAAATAACTATGAAGATCGAGCAAGTCACTTTGTTTCATGTCAAGAATATATTAGTGCAGAATTGCTTTGAATACAAGAGAAGCAAATGATTGTTATGGGGACACCAACTGTTGAAACTAAACTAGTTAAACATATAAGGAGAAGTGTGAAATCCAGATTACCTAATTCACCAAAAGATACAATATTTCAGCAATGGACAAAAATGAACCGGCATAGAATGGATGGATACTGAGGTTTAACATAACTGGTTGTCTGATTCCAACTGATTTTGGAGTGACATATAATTTCTTGATTGACTGATAGATAGTTCTTCGGCTAAAGTGCTTCTTAGAGTTAGAGAAATAGAAAACTCTACTCTTAGGCGTTAGTCTTAACATCCTCGCTGTAGTAAATTTATTAGCAAATTACATGTGAAAGCAACACTCTCTACCACCCACCGACCACTCTTGAATTTATATCCTCAAAGAGAAGGACAAAAAGGAGTCCTACAATTCTAGGCATTCACCTAAAGAAAGGTAATAAAAGAGAACATCTTTAAATCACTTTAGTCATAGTTACAAACAATCACATCCAATTAATGTCCAAATAGAGTAACATCAACAAACTAATGGTTAAGCAAATTGTTGTTGTACAATAAACTCCACCTAAGTAAGATCCATTTTAAAGCATCTTTAGTCTTAAGCCTGGTATTAAGGAGAAAGGTTGACAAACAACATGATAATAGTCAAACTATCATGAAATCTAAGGATTGTTGGATATTTGGGATTGCAGCTATGATAAATATTGCAGTCCAACAAAGAGCGGGGGTTAACCAGAACATTTCACTGGTAATGCTGAATTGTAAATAAGGATGGTTCGGTCCCTATACCGTCCCTCCCATTACCATAATAGACCATGAGATTATTCTTAGCCTCTTTTGTGCTGAAGAGGCTGAAACAATACTTTGCCTCTTAAAATAATGAGGAATTTGTACATGAACCTGAAACAATACTTAGCCTCTTCGAATTCCTAAAAGATTAAAAGGGATTCCCTAATGGATGTGTGGGCATACTAGAAAAGATAAGGTGGGAGTGGCCTCTGTGGAGGACAAGATACAGGAGGCGAGACTGAGATGTTCTGGACAGGTGAAGAGGAGATACATGGATGTCCCAGTGTGGAAGTATGAGAGGTTGACTATGGATGGTTTCAGGAGAGGTAGCGGTAGACCAAAAAAGCTTATGGAGATGTGATTAGACAAAACATGGTGCAACTTCAACTTATGGATGATATGGATAAGGGTAGAAGGTTAGTAGATTGTTGAGCGTTATCTCTCTTATCCGTCCATAATAGTAGTCATAGTATTACACTTGCAGTTTCTTGTTTCTTCGACTTCTGTTATTATTTATCATTCCTTGTACTATGATTATCGTATTATTCCATTGTAGTTACTGTTCCTACTTTCAGATTGCCTTATCTTGCCTTATTTAGTATTTTGCCTTGTTTTCTTCATTCCTATTATTTTCTTAAGCTGAGAGTCTATCAGAAACCGTCTCTCTGGGTTGAGGTAAGGTCAACTTACACACTAAGCCACTTATGGGATTACAATAACCTTTTCTAAAAAATGAGATTATTCTCCATTTCCCTATTAACATTCTCCTTCAATACCAGAACAACAGACCAAATTAATGAAGTTCAAATCAATTAATATAATTTTTGCAAATCAACCATGGACATTATCTAAAGGAAATAATCAAAATTGCAGAAGTAAAAAAGAAAGAGACCTGAAGGGCATGATTGTATCGACGGTAAGACCTAAATTGTTTGACGATAATCAGTAGGTCTTCATACATAATGGGATTTTGTTCAGTAACCCATTTGTCCAGTACTGATATGACGGACTCCTTAGAGCGATTCAAATAGAGTAGCCTATTGTACAGAGCATCCTTTGGAGACGAGGTTAAGGGGTTAGAACCTTGTTCATCTTTATTAGTCAAATCTAAGGAGGCTATGGTTTCAGCTATTGTAGAATATGAAGAAGAAACCCTAAGAAAACAAGTACTGAATTTCCACCATGATTGTTGAACAAGTTTCACCATTCTTACCAGAAATGCAGAGTATGTCTCACTCCTTCACACACTTCATTCACTCTTGTAAGTTGTAACCCTTCTGCCAATAAAAATTGTTCATTTTTTTAAAAAAAAATTTAATTGAAAATGAGTTAAATTTCAGACTCTAATAACCTTTTTTATTTATTTCGTCGGATTTTATTTTTAAGAAATTTATTTTCTTAGAGAATGTTTTTCAAAATATTTTGATCAACAGAACAAAAAAATATTTTTTCAATTAAATATTTACAACTTACAAGGTATCTTCTTTTAATCAACTCACCTTGTTTTCTTATTTCATAACCCAAAAATTTTCATATGAAGTTTTTAACATCTTGTATTTGTCTTTTTTCACTTTTGATTACTGTAATTTCTTCAAGTTTGGTTAGTTTGAAATGAAAAAAATTCCGCATGGAAGCTTCAGTCACTGTTGGCTGTCAATTTTGCCGTGCAAATTTTAGTTGCAACTTTTTGACTGACAATAAATCGGATATATTTTGTTCTACATTCGTTAACTAACAACACGTACCTGAGGAAAATTGACAAAGAAGAGTGTCCATTTCCTTAAAACCTTCCTAGTTTAATAATCCGATTTGACACGCTCCTTATTATATTAAACTTTTAAGGGAAAATGCATAAGTATTCCCAACGTAATTTGTTCGAAATTTCAGAAATACACTTATACTATATTAAGGTCCTATATTACCTTCCGAACTTATTTTATAAATAATTTTCTACCTCTTTTCGGCCTACGTGACACTATCTTCTGGGCCCAGAGCGTATTGACAATTTTTTCAAGCTATCTGGTTGATAGTGTCACGTAGGTCGAAAAGGGGTAGAAAATTATTTATAAAATAAGTTTGGGGGTAATAGGACCTTAGTATAGTATAAGTGTGTCTCTGGGATTTCGGGCATAGGTTGGGGTGGTACTTATGTATTTTCCCAACTTTTAATATATATATTGAATTAAGAATTTCGTTAAAAAAAGGAATCTCTGTTCTTTTTTTTTTTTTGCATCTCTTCAATTCCATACATTCTACATATCTTTAGTTTAAAATTCAAAAGTTCTCTTACTTTCTTAGACTCCGTGGCAAATCAAAATCAGACAAATGAAAGTTGAAACGAGAGTATAGTGAAAAACGTGCCAATTAAGAAGACTTTAACTAATTCATGTCCCAAGCAGTCATCTAATCATGGCCAAATAATAGATAGAATATTTTAGTCTATGCTCTTTCTGTCTATATTCACACGTTAGTTGTTACAGATGATAAAATAATTCTATAAATCATAGCAGCAGATATGCAGTTGTTAGACTTTCAGATTTTTCATTTGATCTTTGTCTGTACTTTGATCAATATTCTGAAGATGAGTGTATCTAAAAAATTCATTCAACAGCTTATTCTGTTTGACATATTCATCGCGCTGTCAGTTACCTGTGGTGTTGTGTTCAGCTCAGGAGTTGGTGATGGGAATATCAAGTGCCTTCAAACGGAATTAGAAGCTCTTCTCAGTTTCAAACGGGAGTTGTTAGATGTCCGTGGACGTCTTTCTTCGTGGGGAAATGAAGGATTTAATCAAGATTGTTGCACATGGAGAGGTGTCCAGTGTGACAATCAAACCAGTAATGTCATTAGACTCGATCTTCGTGGTCCTTCTGGCCTCAATGCATCCGTTGCCACTGAGCCATTGATAGGTAAGATAAGTCCTGCCTTACAAGTATTGATGCAATTAAAGTATTTGGATCTTAGTTACAATCGAATTTCAGGAGGTATACCGGACTTTCTTGGTTCTCTGAGTAAGTTGGAATACCTCAACTTATCTTGTGTTGGTGATGATTTTACGACAGTTCCTAATCTTGGCGATCTTTCTAGCTTAAACACCCTTGATTTGAGCTATAATGATTTCCTATCTGTGAATAACCTTGAATGGATTTCGCGTCTTTATCAATTGAGATACCTTGCTCTACGTTATGTTAATAATCTGAATAGTTGTGTATATACCTGGCTGTTTAAGTTAAGCAATCTGACTCACCTTGATCTCTCTGGTAATACTTTATATGGTCAAATTCCTGATGCTTTTTGGAGTATGAAATCCTTAAAACACCTTGATCTGTCTCGGAATGCGCTTGGAGGTGGCTTCCCTAGATGTCTTGGTAACAGTAGTAATTTGAAGTTATTGCGACTGTCTTCCAACAATCTAGACGGGCAGCTACCTGAGATAATGAATAACTTGTCATGCGTGTCACATTCTCTCGAGTACCTGAACTTAGAAGAGAATCACATTGGTGGTTCACTGACTGATGTTGTAGCTAAGTTTGCATCTTTGAGAGAGCTGAGGCTCGGACGTAATAAGTTGAATGAATCCATCCCGGGAGCTGTTGGAAAACTTTTAAGTATTGTTCTTTTGGATTTATCTTGGAACAGAATCACGGGATCAGTCCCTGATCTTTTTCTGTTATCGTCGTTGAGGGAATTATATCTTTCTCATAATCAGTTAACTGGTGTAACGGAGAGTATTGGATGTCTTTCCAAACTTGAGAAGTTGTACCTTGACTTCAATCAGCTTGAAGGCACAATATCTGAAGCTCATTTGTTCAAGCTCTTGAAATTACGTGAGCTGGACCTCTCTTATAACACTCAACTACATATTCGAGTCAGTTCAGATTGGATCCCGCCTTTTCAGCTGGATCTCATTCGTTTTACCCACTGCAAATTGGGTCCTCAATTCCCAAACTGGCTGCGGAATCAGAACAACATTTCCGAGCTTGATTTCTCAGCTTCTGGAATTTCGGGTGACGTTCCTAGTTGGTTCTGGGAGCAGTTGCCTGGATTGACCTTCTTAAACCTTTCTTACAATGATATAGGAGGAAATGTACCATATCTCTCAAAGAAGATGACTGATCTTCTTTGCATAGATTTGGCTACAAACAAATTCACCGGTCCAGTACCACGATTTCCTACCAGTGTTATAACAGTTGATCTCTCCAACAACATGTTTTCCGGTACCATCTCCTTCATTTGTGACAATTTTGATTATTTGGGATATCTTGACCTCTCAGACAACAGGTTGTCCGGAGAGCTTCCTCACTGCTGGACGCTTAGAAGTATCGTGCATCTTAACTTAGGGACTAATAACTTCTTCGGGGAGATACCTGATTCGATAGGCTCATTGCAGACGATGGGAATGCTGCACCTTCAAAACAATCATTTAACAGGAGAACTACCTCAGTCCCTGGCAAATTGCAAAAAGTTGAGGGTTATAGATGTTCGGTCTAATAACTTGTCTGGTGAAATTCCAGCATGGATTGGGAATAACATATCTGATATCATTATTGTTATCTTAAAATCCAACAGGTTTAGTGGAAGCATACCTTCAACCATATGCCAGCTAAAAGAACTTCAAATCTTGGACTTATCTGAAAATAAGATATCCGGGATCATACCAAAATGTATCAACAACCTCACTGCAATGACGGAAGAAGAGAGCACAATGCACCAAATCAAGAGTTGGTATTTTCAGGTCGATGATCAAGGTGATGTCAAAATAAATGCCTCATACGATGAAACTGCAGTTTTGATGTGGAAGGGACGACAATTTGAATACAGCAGCATACTTGGTATGGTAAAGAGCATCGATCTTTCAAGCAACAACATGGTGGGAGAAATCCCGGTTGAAATTACATCTCTTGTAGGTTTGCACGGTTTGAACCTGTCGAGAAACAACTTAACCAGCAGCATCCCTCTGAGAATTGGTCAAATGAGGGAACTAAATTTCCTTGACTTAAGCACAAATGATCTTACAGGGGAAATTCCTGCTAGCCTTTCACAGTTAAGTCACCTGGGAGTTTTGAACTTGTCTTACAACAACTTGTCTGGTCGAATCCCTTTAGGCGAACACTTACTGACTTTCAACAACAGATCTTACATTGGAAATCATGGACTTTGCGGCCGTCCACTAACAGAAGCTTGCTCTCTGGAGGAACTGCCTCCAGACTCAACGTTGAGTGATGAGGACGAGTTTATAACTCCAGAGTTTTATATTAGTATGGGAATCAGCTTTATTTCTTCATTTTTGGGAGTCTCAGCTCTGATGTTGAATAGAAGGTGGACTTATGGTCTACTCAGATACTAGGAAATCAATAATGTAACATCACACAGTTAAATGTAGGTTTACTTAAATACCATGATAAGGAGCTATGTAATCTTGAGTTCTTGAAACTTTGCACTTGCCTGAATTTTTATTCCATGTGCATTGTACACCACACGAATCAGCTGATCCTCGGATATTTATACTGTACAAGTTGTTTTATCTAACCTTTATAAACTGTCATTATATAAATCGTTTAATACAATAGGTGACTGTCGTTTCCTCTAGCAAAACCATTCATTTTAAGGAGCTCCATAGAAGAGCAAACCTCATCCTCTGCCTCCCATTGTTGGAAGAGAGTAATGCAATAGTATGTAATATTCGAAAGAATTTGATAATGAATGATAGGATCATGTTGTCCACAATGTACTTTTTCCACTAATATTTCATATGGAGAGCTTATTTTGTTATGGAGAAATTAAATTTAAATCTTGGTAATCATAGAGTTACCGTTGTTTGTTGGTGGGAGGTAGCAGATATCCTGTGGAATTAGTTGAAACACAAACAACGGTTGAAAAATTCAACTGTAGGCATGGAACTCTATTTACTCTATTATCCAACACCACAATTATCCAACAAATATTTACAACTTGGTAATGCCTACAGTATAGGATGGAACTCAATCTTGATAGCTTGCTACTACATAATAGGAGGAAAGTTGAAAAATTCTAAGTTATGTTGATTGTGTGATTGTTTATAATGTGCTTGATCTTACTTGACTGTTTCCAAAGACAGTATGTCACACTAAGCAAATTCTTATCAACAATTGAAACAACAACTGTAGAGTATAAATTATTTATCAGCCAACAATGCTAATTAATCTAGAATTAGAGCATGAATTCCAATAAAAAAGGATTCTTAATATATCCTTAAGATGTAATTTACTCATTCCGCGTTGCCAAGTGATTGGTGAAGCAATTATTAATGTAAGAGAAGGTAAGATAGATGTTTGGTAGAATGTATTAGGAAAAATAATGCATGCATTAGTTTTGTGTATTCGTAGTAACTTGTTTGATACATTTTTTAATTCTATGTATTACAAATGCTTGCATTAATTATACACTTCATTGTGTATTGAAGTGTGTATTACTAATGCATGGAGATCCATGGTTAGAGTAATGCAAAGGGTTTTAGTGTATGCATTAACATTGTTAAAGACCTCATTGCCTCTCAAAACTTTTTTATATCTTTTACTTCATATTCGTGTAGGGTATCTTTGTAAATGCATATTGTTTTAAAAAATTATGCAATGAATGTTATTTTTATTACACCAAATCAAGTAAGACATAAAAAATAAGCTCTGCATAATGCATAATCAATGCAAACATAAATAACACAAACATAACTAATACACTATTAATTACTCTATTAATTACCATTATTCTAGATCTTACACACCCTACTAATACACTCTATTTAGTAATAGTTTGATACATTATAAATATTTGTGAGTGATCAAGAGAGTGATTAAAAAAATAAGGGGTCATTTAATTGAGAACAAATTATTTTAAGATTAATTATCTTAAAATAATGTATATGAGATAACTTATCTCCTCAAACATCAAATCCTCCTCGAAGATTACCACCAATTAATTTTCCTCATCCAGTACTTCTCAATTTATGTTCAGTCCACGTTATCACTTGCTCATGCTTTTACAATACCTTAAGCTCGAGACACTGAGTCTGTCTCAAAAAAATCACTTATAGCTTGTTTGAAATCACCCGATAATTGAATTTAATGTAATTGGATGTTATTACATTATTTGATATATTTAATTAGTTATGCAATTACTTAATCAGTATGTAATTGAAAGTAATTGGCGGGATAATAATACTCTCCAATTTTGATAGAGGGTTGTGAATGGTTGATATAGGCATAATTGTAAGATGAATACTTTTTAAATTTCTTTTTATCTCTATTTTTGTTTTCTGTTTTAATTTTATTTATTTTTTCTATTTTTTTTATTTTATTATTATTCTAAAAATATATTTTTTATTATTATATTTCATTCCTTCTCCTTCTCATTCTATATTTTTACTTCCTGTGATTTAATGTGATTTTTCGTATTATCTATTTTATTTATTTGTTCTATGTTTATTTTATTTCATTAACATAATTTTATTAATATTCTAATTTTTAAATTGAAGTAGAATGATTATTGTTGAATAAGGTTATATATTTACGTTTTTCTTTTCTTTTAGATTATATTTATGTATGTTATGCTGAAATTTGACATAAGAGTATTATGTTAAATTTTTTATTTAGAATTTAAAACTTTTGTTATATTTTTCAATTTCATTTGTTTTAGTAGTATTAACTTGATATTTCTTATTGTAGGTGAGTTATTTTTTTAGTTAGACTTAATAGATTGTTTTTTTGTCAAATATTTTCAGACATTATATTTATAGATTAATTTTTTTTTCAGACATGTATTTTATGATGCATATAGAAATCTTGTACTTTTAGTTTTTATTATTAATTTAATTAAAATATACTAATTTTAAAAATACAAATTATTTTTTATAATATTAGTTAACAACACATGTGTGTTAATTAAGATATTTTCAAAAGATAATATATATTTTAAAAATTTAATTGAATATCATTTGTAAAATCTCTTATCTGACAATATAACCTTATAATTATATTTGTGCAACCAAATAATACATTTATAATTACACCGTAATTACTGGTTCCTAGCAATTATCGATACAAATCCCAATTACTAGATAGCTTCCAAATAGACCCCGAGTTGAGACAATTTTCAGTTTCACCTGGACCCATACGTGGCAACATCAATGATGTCCATCATGAAAGAGCAAGATGCAATCACAGCCTTTGATAGAAACAATCACAGTTATATCGTGTACCAATAGAAATACGACAACTGTATAGTAATTTCTTTTTACACTTATTTAATATCACCAAATGTACATAATTTTAGATATTATCCTCTCTTTCTTTTTTTTCGTTTCTTCCCAATTTTAAATAAGAAAAAAAAAGGATTTTTGCACTTATTGCCCTTCAAACAGATTGATGCTTAATTTTACTCCTATTTTTTTTATTTATTAATGAAATAATTAATTAATTCTGTCTGATTAGTTGGATCCCACCAGATGTAATTAACAGTAATATGACACCGTTTTATATAACTTAGCCCTTTATATATACCTTTTAAATCAACTCAACTTAACACTTCATTTTTCTCTTTTTGATTTGCTCTGTTCATATTTTTTCCCATTTTATCAGAAAAATAATAGAATGGAATGGCTTAGGCAAATTTCGTTTTGGTTACTGTTGCAACTGATTCTTTTAATAAGTCTCCACATCATATTCTTTTTGTTGCTCTCGATTTTATTTCTTCTCTTTAAACTCAAGTTTCTTCCTCTCCAAGTTTCTTCATCAAATCCTTTTTCTAAAATTCTCCCATGGAAACAGAGGATTCTCTTAGGGATCAACTGCGTCAGCTTAAGGAGTCTGGAGCATGTTATGTCCAACTGAGGAGAAGTGATCAAGGATTGCTATCCTGGAGGTGCCTGCCCTGCATTGAAACTTTTACAAATGTTACCGATTTCGAACATCATTTGAATTCTGATGTCCATATAAATCTTCAAAATTTTGCTTGTAATACCCTTCTAAAAGCAAACAGATGGCCATTTTATGATAGCTTGATATTTGGGTTAGGAATTTCTAATGACCTTGAGGTTAAGAATGTGCTGTGCTATGGAGATATGGGAGATATGAAGCTGGATTTCATTGGTAAATCTCTAATTTTTAGGAAGTTAAGTGAAGATGAAAGTGGTATTCATAAGATGTGGGCTGAATGGAGGGATAAATCCTATCCAACTATGCAGGATGTTCCCCTGCATGACTTTTCACTTGTCAATTTCAAATGTAATTTGACTCTTGGAATGCCAGCATCAACTTTTAAGGAACTGCAACAGATATCTCTATATGATCTGTATCATCGGAGTTGTAAGTTGTGTGATTGTCCTATTCCTCCAGGTTGTGATGTTTCTACCATCCTCAACAATGGATCATCTATGCTATCTTGTAGTTATCATAATACTAAAGGGGTAATTTTCTATTTGGAGTATTTATTTTTTAAACATGAAACAGTCTATGATTTGATTTGATTGTTTGTGGATTATTAATAAGTTTCTTTTTGTTTAGATGTATCACCTTTTTCATACCTCCTGTCTTCTTAATTGGATGTTGATGATGGAAGAGTTGTCTCAAGGTGGACCAATAATTCAACAACGACGAAAACAAAAAATCAGCCCTAAACATCTAGCCAAGTTTCAGGACTATCGTTTTTGTCCCGAGTGTTGCTGCACGGATGACGATGAGAACTTTGTTCTATGGGTATGTTTGTTAAATTGAATTTTGAAGTTGCCGATTAAGATTTTGTTTTAACATATATTCTCTTTATTACAGGTTTTCCGTCTCAGAGATTTAATTGTTGAAGGTCGCATGAAGTGGAGGACTTGTTATGAGCATCTGGAGAATAGCTCTATTGGACTGAGTTTCCGTTCGGCTGGCCATCAATCACATGCTACAGCACAGGGGAATGCTCCAGTGAAACTATTGAGGATTTATCAAGGTTATGCATAAGCCACTGGGAAATCCGTTCGGCTGGCCATCAATCACATATCTGCTCTCTTTTTTTTTCAATCTTGCTGCTGTCTAGGTGATAATCACCTCTGTTTATACAACTCTGTATTTTTGTTGTGTTCATCATTCTCATCCTTAATGTCTATATGTTCATTATGTTTCTGTTCATCTTTTATTGTTGTTGATTCTGGTTCAACTCGTTTTTAACAATCTGTTCACTGTCTGTATTTATATTAGATTTGTGTGTAGACTCCTGTATTCCACTTTCTTCAGTCTTATTCTATGATATTTATGTGTTATGCTCTTGATTTACTCCTGTTCTTGTTATTTCTCCATTGCTAATCTGTTATCAGTTGTCTCCTCTAGCTATCCAGGATCATCAGCTTGTTTATCCTCTAGGGACCTATCATCCATCATGTGGCTATTTTATCTATATTCTTTTCCTTCTTCTGAAGTCCCCATTATGCTTTTTTATTTCTTGATTTGCATCAGCACTCTGCTCTTTGTTTCCCTTCTTTTTGTTCCCAGTTTGTTTGCCCTTATTGTTGTTGGTTGTTTAGTCAGTAACTCTTGGCTCAGTCTTGCTCTTTACCAAGTGATGCCTCAACCTGTTATTTTGTTGTTTCAATAATCTTTATACTTTGTTCTTGTTCCTCTTGGTTGTTGTTATGCCTTTCAGATAGCTCCTATTCCTTCCAGTTTACCAAACTTGTTCTTGTTTTCTGCCTTTTCTTCTTTTCCATGGTTATTATTTTTTTCTATTTTGTATCAACTGCCATTACTTTGCTAAGTTATTATCCCTCCAGTTCTGCCAATTTTCTTCATGGTTTGTTGGTGGTTGTTTTGGTTCCTCAACCTGGTTTCCTTTACCTTTATCTTCTTGGGATGTATTAATTAAGTTGTTGCACACCTGCATTAGCCTTGTTTTTATTCTCCTTGTTTGGTCTAAATTCTGGGTGAATTTTTCAACACCCTATAGTCTACAATGTGTTCAATATTATGGCAAGTAATCAATCACATTGAGTCTGTTGCCATTTTGATGTTTTCTTCATCAGGACAATTAATTTGAATTCTTTTTGTAGTTCTTTTAGCGAATCAACTTTCACTTTCACCCTTGCTTAACTTGCTTAGTTTGATTATTAGTAGCTTAACTACGACCAGTGGTTCTCCATTGAGAACATGGTTCCTTTCAAACAAAATTGGTTGGGAATGACATCCATGCTATTGTAATTGTGGTTTCAGAATCTTATAGGAAAATACCTATTTCGAATGTGTAACTTGACATTAATGCATGCAACATAGTCTTCTAGTAAAGATAATCTAACCAAGACATGTCGATCTACAATCTATTGTATGAGAATTTTGCCATTACTGCATTTTGTAAATTTTGCCTTTTTACACAATCGCTCAAATTCTTTGCATTTATTTTGTAAGAATATTGAATCACCACCTCAGGAGATCTGCAAATGCACCTGTGTATTTAAATTGATCTTAATTCGAAAAAAGAAAATGTAATTCAAGAAGAAAATTATGCAGCTTTCGTTTTGGACTATGGTCCCAAAACTAATTTACATGATTAAGTTCCAACTTTAAAAACATTTTGTTGGTTATTTTGACATTTTAATACTAATAAAGTGCATCATTTGCATTGTTAGTGTGTTCGTTAGTTATGGGCAGTTTCCTCTTGCTTTTAAGTGACAAGTGTGGCTATTGTTTTAAGTGATATGTGTGGTTGTACAATCCTCATTTCTGAGGTTGCTGTGAACGTTGGATTTTTAGACGTTGAGCAACTCTTCATTTTCAGCACGTTAGTGGCATTAGGTGCCCTCACATTATTTCTCTCATTGTTCTCCATTATACCTTGTAACATATATAACTCCTATGCCATTTATCTTCACTATTTAGTACCCCATTATTTTCCCGTTCATTGCTATGAAGACTTTCTCTACTATAAATTGTGATGGTCTTCATTTGATTCACACAAGAAAAATATAGAGCGTATAAAAGTTTGTCAAAAAGAGAGTTCTTATTAGTTGAAGGGAGGTGTTCTTTTTGTGGAGCTTTGGACTCAACTCTTGTCCAGAGTTTATTGAGTTACTCTTTGTGATTAGGCTGTTGTATCCTGGAGGGGACAAGTCAAGAGGATTACTGCTAGACCGGTGAAAAACATTTGTTACAATGGACTTGAATTTCCTTAAGAAAGTGAGATATCCGCGCCTCAGCCTGGAGAGATTTTTATTTCTTCATTTTATTTTCAATTATAATCTTGTAATTATGTTATTTTGTAATTTTTCACTACACATTTCACAAATGGTTTCTAAAGAGAAAATGCCATAAATAGTTCTTTAATTATAGGAGTAGGTCTAAAATAGTTTCATAACTTTACAATTACCTCATTTAGTCCTTCAGCTATTTAAAAACTTGTCAAATTTGGTCACTTAACTATACATTTATCAATTTTGTTTTCTTATCTATACATTTCTCGAATGTAGTCCTTTAAGTATTTAAAAACTTATCAAGTTTGGTCTCCGTCCATTTTCTTATACAAATAACTTAGATTTATATTATGGAATCCATGCCTTGAGAAATTATATTATTTAGCCATTTTTTCTGTTGTTTCTCTCTCTCCACTATTTTTTCTTCAAATTACTCTTATGCAAAAAATCTTAACCCGATTTAAAATGAAATTCACGAGGAAAAAAAATATAAGTCATAATTTTATTTAATAAAGGATAAAATGAAGCATAGTATTGCTACTAATGACTTGAATATGCTAAATTTTATTATAAAAAGTAAAAAATTATTACTCGTTAAATCCAAAGTTTGTACTCCAACGGCTTAATTGAACGAAATTTGTTTAATTTTTCAGAAATTGAAATTTATAAAATGGTAGATTTGTTAATTTTTTTAGTTTTTTTAAAAAAGAGATCAATTCTCTTATTCTATTCATTTTATTTTTCGTAAAGAAATTTGAGTAAATTAAATAAAATCTACACTGATTAGCATATTCAAGTGCGGATTCAAGTCATTAACAACAATTATATACTTAATTTTATCCTCCATTGAATAAAATTAAGATTTATATCTTCTTTCCTCATTAATTTTATTTTGAATAGTTGAGGTTATTATTCTTTTAATAGTAGTAATTTGAAGAAAATAGGAAGGGGATAGAGAAACAACTTTAAAAATGGGTTAAAAATTTAGTTTCACGTAGAGTTCCGTTAATATAAACCTAAGTTATTTATATTAAAAAAAGAAGAAGACAAAGACTCATTAGAATGATGAACATTTTCCCCTCTTTCAGCATACAATGCCATGGATCATTGAGTTCATTATTAATTCTAAATTCAGTTGTTATACGCTGGCTTTCATCAGCAACTATCATAAAATAAGCCTTGCTCACACTGGGCTTAGAATTCATCATTAAAATTATACTATGAGCATGACTATACATCTCATTTAGTCCCATCAGAAAAGCAAACAATCGCAGGCAGTGTAAGTGATCAACATATGACCTAGATTTATCACAACTACAAATAGGTGGAGGCACCAATGCATCAAATTCATCCCACAAGAGCCGCAATTTGGTAAAGTACCCTGAAACTGTCAAATTACCTTGACTGTGAGTACAAATATCACGATGAAGCTGATAACTTCTGGATCCATCTACTTTGTTAAATCACTTATTCAAATCTCCCTAAACCATAGGTGCATTTGAAGCATACACGATATCACTCAATAGCTCCTCGGATATAGTGTTCAAGAACCATGCTAGCACGAATGCATTGCCTTTCTCCCATTGTTCCTCTAACTCTGGCTTATAATCTGATTTTCAGCATGTTCCAAGCACAAAGCCCAACTTACTTTTTGCCCTAAGATTGATCATCATGGATCTACTCCATATTAAGTTATTCTCAGTCCTTATGAATTGAACTGAAGTCAGTTTACTATCCGGAGTATCCGATGGATGAAAATATAGAGGGTGATCACGATTCTTTTCGATTCCATCAACAGTATCAGCTGAAATTCCAGCTGCGCTTCCTTCTAATGTTGTTTCCACCATCTTCTTCAAGCTCTGATAATGGTGAAAGCTCAAGATCGAAGAACAGTGAATATGAATTGCAGAGATTCAATGCTCTGATACCATATTGAATTTAGTAAAGAGAATCGAATTCGGGAAATTTTGATCATATTCAATTAGCTTAAACACAAAGTTGTGAGATACCTCCCTATATGTACATGCCACTCAAGGAAATAAGTTATGTCCCTTAATTCAAACTAATAAATCGTGTATCTCGACTTTTAAAACTGACGGATATATGTATCTAGCGAGTAATGATATACGTATTCAAAAGTCGAAATATGGCATAGAAAGTACTATTCCAAACTATCGTGAATCCCAGTCATTAAGACCTAAACTAGTAAAATTTATGTAGTTTGCTCTTTTTTTATTCAAAATTAATTTCTCAATATACCAGGTATTTCTTCTCAGTTATAAAGCATAGGAGACTAAAGCTGGCTATTACTCATGAACTAAGGGATGCAAATGGCCAATGGAGGATTGATCCAGGGGAAATAGCAGAGATATTTGTTCATTACTACAAACAACTCTTAGGTGAGAAAACAACTACTAGGCTGAAAGCTAATAATACTGTATTGAAAAATGGAATTGTACTAGACATGGAGCACCAAATGCAACTATTGGAGCCTTTTACTGAGAATGATGTGAAACAATCCATGATAAAGATTGATCAAACAAAAAGCCCTAGGCCTGATGGTTATGGTAGTGGTTTTTATAAAGAAGCAGGGGAGATTGTGGAAAGAGACATTACTGAAGCAGTTTTAGAGTTTTTTCACAATGGGAAGCTTTTGAGGCAAGTGAATGCTACAAATATTGCACTTATTTCCAAGGTAGATTCACCAGAATGGGCCAGCTAGTTTAGACCTATTGCTTGTTGCAATGTATTGTATAAATGCATTTAAAAAATTATCTGTACTAAACTGAAGAAAGTTGTGAGTATTTTAGTAGCAGACAACCAAGCTGCATTTGTGCAAGGGAGGTCTATGAATCATAATATTCTGATATGTCATGATCTGTTAAGGCACTACAATAGAAAGACTACTCCTAGGTGTTTGATGAAAATTGAGCTCAGGAAGGCTAATGATATGGTGAGCTGGGAATTTCTAGAAGAATGAAGCTTTAACAGGATTTGGATTTCCAGAAAGATTTATCAAGTGGATAATGATC